AGTCTTCAAATTTCGCACCATTTTTAGTCACAATAGCAAACTTAACTGGTTCGATGTTCCAACTTTGCTGAATGAAGACTTTTCAAAATGGTAGAAGTAAACATTCAAATATGTGAATGGGTCTAGTTCTTCTTTAAGTCCTGACATGTACTTGTTTACTGAGATGAATTTTGCCATCTTTTCTATCGGATAAAAAAATATTTTTTTTAAAATTTACTCATAAAAATTTTTCTTTGTATATACACCATTCTGTACGTCTAAAAGACTTTTGACATTTGCCAAGAATGTACGTTTAGACGCTGTCATATAACCATATTCTTTGACAATATTGTTTATACGAATCGTACAATGACCTTTCATCTAAACACTCAAAATCAGTTTCATCTAATGAACAGTTCATATACACTCTTGTTTGCTTCTAACAATGTTTGTCTCTCTTCGGTATGTGGAATTTGTCTTGGATTGAACTTTGAAATATCTAATGTCATGAAATATGAGAACAAGTGGTTGTAAAAGTCAGATGTCAAAGTTTCTGCTAAGTCGTCAAAATATTCTGTATCTTGCATATGAGAATCTGACGTTCTGACAACTACATATCTTCTGTCAGAACTTTCTAACTTCATCGGAACAGCAATTGTTTGAAACCATAATGAAGTTTGCAACATTTTCACAAACTCTTTGGTCTTTATACTTTCTTTCAACAACTCCAACTTTGTCTGTTATAAGACTCTTCAAAGCATCTGAGTTTAAAACTTTTGTTGTATCTATACTTTGAAGTTCATTGCAAACTATAAGTTTCATATTCTCTATTGAGGAGTTAAATTTACCGCAGATGTTTTCTATGTTTGTCATATTCGGGTTCGAATAGCCCTCTAACAGTTTGCACAAAATATCTGTAAAGAATGTGTTCTACCTGTTCCTTGTTTTCCAATTATAATGAGAGCAGTTTCATTCTTAGCACTTGGATGTTGTAATGTTTGCAAACCAACATAAGATATACTCATTAACCTTTCGCTTCCATTGCATATAATTTCTTTGACAGGTCTAACCAAGCTTCTAATATTTTCTTTCCATTCTACTTGTTCGTATTTATATCCAGTGAAGATAGAATAGAAGTTTGGAGAAGGTGTAATAAAACTTTATACTCGAACTGAAAAATCTTCAAGTTTGACAATAAGATATCCAAGCATCTAACATCCATGCCAACTTGTACAACTTTTATTTTCTTAAGTTTTTGTCTACATTCTTGTTCAGACACTATTGTTGCTCTTGGTTTGTTAAAGACAACATCCCATTCTTTCATGACATAACATTCTGGGCAGAGTCAACATAAATGACTAAACGTTTCAAATTCTCGACTGCTTTGTTATAGTCTCAAATGGACACATATTTCTGATGCTTGGAAGTCATAAAAATCTGAAACATCTATTCTGTACATTTTTTATAAAAATAAAAAAAATATTTTTTTTATTCTTGACTTTGTTGTT